GAAAAAAATTAAACACTGTTTTTAGTCTTTGTCAAGTAATTTCTAATTATAAAAATTGAATGAGTGGTAATTCCCGAAAAAATAAACCTAAAACAACTAACCAAAAATCATTATTTGGGCATTTTGTCCAATCATCTTTCTGTCAATCAATTTATTCTTTGTCAAGTAATTATTCTGCCTCCTGTATGGTTAATTGATAATTGTTATATTCTATTTTTATTTAAAAAATAAATAAAATCGTACAAAATTGAGTGTTTTTATTCATTTATTAAATCAAAAAGGAATATAAGATAGTTTTAATATTAAAGAGTGTTAACGTGATAGAGCGTATCCACACTGAAATTGTGAATCCCTGCGGATTGGAATATTTTGTGTGGATAGCCTCTTATTTTTTAAAAAACCCCAATATCCGTTTTAAACCATATGTTATGATTTTTAAAATTAATAATTGTTATTTATGATCATTTATGGGACAAAAATGATACACAAACATAAATACCCCCATAAGGAGTATTTCCAATATTTGCAATAATTTCATAGTAAGAAAAAACGCTATTTTCAGCCTTTTTTGAAGTGGTAAAATAAGAATAGATCAAAATGAACAAATAAAATTACAAACAAAAGTCACTCGTATTATCCCGTTTATTTAATATATGTAACCCTATTTTTTGTTTTTTTTTAATTGAAAAAACATTTCAAAAGTGATTTATGTGATTATAATTTTGGAAAATACCCGTTTTTTGCATTAAAAAATATTTATTTTTAATACCAATTTTAAATAATATTATTTTTTGTTAATTGTGGCTCAAAAATGCATTAATTATCACTTTTTACTAATAGTATTGTAATTTATATAAACATTTTATTGGTTTATTATTTCAATAATAATATTTGGGAATTGAAATTTGTTAAATAATATCCTTTAGGTTAGCGCAAATTATATGTAAAAAGACAAGTATTTCATCCTAAATAATATTCTGGTTTTGTTGAAAATGTTAAGCATTGAGGTTTTAAGTCCAAACTAAACTATTAATTAATAACAATAAATAATATTACAATAGTATATTATTAATGAACATAAAAATGACAGAATAATCACAATAACAAATTCTATTAGCATAGTTAAATAATATGTAATTTTTACTATAAAAACGTTAAAAAGTTAAATGGAAAATTACCACGTTGTTACAATAAGTTATTGTTTATGTTATTAAAAAATCATAACAACACAAAATAATTATAACAATAACATACGGCAAATATCAACAATAACCATCAAATAAAAGTCATATTACTCATTACATTTAACATGTACAGTTGACCAAATAATTATCAGAAACCAAATAATTGTAAGAAGGATGTATTTCTTGTTAATTACCTTAAAAATGACTATTGAAAAAAAGTGAAAAAAGGTACACCAAAAAATGGTAAGAAACTAATTTCTATTTTTAAAAATAGTTTTTGATTAAGGTTTTAAAACTATTTATTTTACTTCTTACTATTATTTGGTCAACTGTAATAATAACAATTGTCTATCTATATTTACCATCCACACCTTTTCAGTCTATCCACATTAAACTATGCCATATTATTTTATGACAAATTATATGTTATTTTATATATTATTCAATTTCAATATTTTTTGGATTACATATAGTTTATACAATTAATTAAATTAATTAAAGTTAATTAATAAAAAACTTTAGTG